GTTACGTGGATGTGAAATTATCAGGAAAGCAGATGTTTTCGGAGATGCTAGACCCTCTATGGAGATACCCTTGTGAACACGATGAGTTTTGGTACTGTTTTAAAATGATGTTCCTACCCATCTTTGAATTTCAGAGAGAGCGAAACTTTAGTTTTGAGATAGTGTCTAAACTATTGCCTTTCAGTCTTTCTTCTTCAGATACTGCTTTAATCTCATTTTTTTGTGATGTACACGCAAGTGGAAGGAATTGCTTTCTGGGGAACTTGGTTGTTTTCAGCCTGCAGTGGTAGCTGTGGGGGCTTCCCTGTACGTCCAAAAGCTGAGGTAGTGTGCTGTCTTCCACAGCTCAAGAGTGATCACAAAGAGGAAGATGCTTGAGTCTGTCTGCATCCTTGTTACAAGGTAGAAATAGTTCTCTAATCCAGTTTGTTCTGGAGCATCAGGCTGACAGAGCAAACCTGTGATCTGGAACAGTGTCTAGGCCCAGAGGCTGTCTTTGTGTAGAGCACAGATCCTGTGATCAGCCATTCAAAGGCGTGGTACAAAGCTGGAAATGATCCCAGTGAGAGAACTGTATATAAAATAACTTTCTGATAGCTAAAATTATAAAATAGCTTTGTTCTTAACCCTGCCCAGATACTGAATGCTTCTCAAGGACAGATAATACCAGTCAGCTTGCAAGCATTCTCGTGAAAAAGGATGAACATGCTGCATTTTAGATCACATTCAATAGTACAAGGCTTCTAGGGGCAAAAGGTTTCTCTGCTTCAGGTGCTGGTAGGTGGTCAGCAGAGCTGCCTGTGTAAGTGGACCCAAATAAAATTTCTAGTCAGAAAAACTCATGACTGTAATGTGCAAATTAGGATTTCCCATCTCTGGAAAATGTGGCTAATATTCTACGTTCTCATGACCTGACATTGTGAATACCTCCTAATGTATTTCCTACCTTCCATGTGCACAACAGGGTGGAAGAAAATATGAATGAGTGTGCTGGTTTCAGGTGGTAGGGGATTTTTAGAGAGAAGGAAGAAGGAGGCAGTAGGTGGGTGAGAAAAAATGAGGCGGAGAGAAACATGCTGCATCTAAATGAAGTGCTGTATTCTCCTTCTCCAGAGCAGGCACAGTGTGGCTATTCTACTGGCAAGAAGAGCTGTTGTTACCCGTGCTGTTAAGACTTCAGTTAGTCTAAGGACAGAAGTCTGACTCTGAAGAGTTAGTGTGCTGCTTGACCCCATCACAAGATAATATTCTGTAGCAAATGCTGCAAAGAATGTGAAGGCAACAGCTTCTGGGGAGAAAAATTGGCAGGAAGGCAAGTAAAGCAGACTGTGAGACGCTTCTTACAAACTGCGCTTAGAAACCAATCTGTTCTTTATTGTTCTCTGATGAAGGGATGGATTATAAATGGTACAGACGGCCTTAAGGCCTGCGATAATACAGTATCTGTAGCTTTTCCAGTTGGAGGCTTAAAAGCTCTTAATGCTTTTTTATGCAAAAAATGGTAAGAATCCATTAAAAAAACCTCTGAGAATGTACATGTCAAAACCTCAGCCTCAGGAGCAAATTATTATTTTAGGCAGGGAGAGGAAAAGTTTGTTTAATTGAAAGAAGAAAATTTTAAATATGGTTTTACACTTTTTTCTTGCTTTGCTTATAGTTTTACTAAGATAAATATCTAAAGTTGGAAGTTTTAATGTGAAAGATCCCTCCCATGTCATCTCTCCTTCAGTCTGTCCTTAAAGTGCATGCAAAGTCAAACTTCCCTTAAACGGCAGTACACTGAATTCAGATTTTTCTGATGTCTTGATGACAGCATGTGTATTTGTCTAGAACCATAAAAAATTACATGTCATCTGAGTGTTGTACAAGCTCAGTGCACCAATGGTACACTCTTGTCCCACTTGAATGTAGGCACGAACACAATGTTCTGCTCTGTTAATAGCCCATATGCATTCTCACAAAGTCAAATGGCTGAACAAAATATGTGGATGCAGAGTTGGATATTGTGCCATGGGCCTTAACCGTGCTCTGCATCAGCAGAAGCAGCCTGTGCTCTAAATATGGTTTTGTATTTTATAGTTGTTGATGTATATTCGCTCACCCTGAAACCCTCTTGTGACTGGTCTCATGTATGGTAGGCAGACCCAAGAGCCCGATTCAGCCTCTAAGTGGTTTTGTTCCTTCTGCTTATCATTTTTCTCTAAAAATCTCTCTTGTCTCTGCTTGTCTTGTATCAAATGTAAGGCAAATAATCACAGAAATTAATCTGAGTAGATTAAAATGTGATGTGATTTTTTTTTTTTTGTGCGATAAACAAAAATAGTCTTGAATAACTGGGTAGATCAGTAGGCTGGCTAACAGGGCCATCTGCTGGCAGATGCACTCTAACAAGGCAACTGAATTTTGCTGGGACAAGTCTAGTTCTGGGAAACGTTAATGGCTTGATTCTAACTTCCAAACACCTGTGACTCTTCCTAAATTATCTTTGTAAGCTGCGTTGTACTTCATGTTAATTCCTGACTTTGTAGTAGAACTTATTACTGTAGAAATAGGGAACTATTTAAGTATAAATTTAAGGTCCATTCAAATGTTAAATGAGATGTTTGATTTGGGAGTAGTATGGCCATAGATTATGCTTTAAAACTATATTCCAAGGAAGTATGGTTTTGTAGATGTATCTTAGATCAGTGAACAATGATTAATTTTAAGACTTTCTCTTCACATAAGACTTCTAAATTAGGGATGTTTTGATCAAAATTACAGATCAGATTTCTTGTGAACGAATGTTTGGCCTATGAAGATAATTGAATTTCTTGTATCTTTAATATTGAAAAGGCTTTTGGATGTATTTCAGTTTGTTCACAACCACTGTGTAATCAAAGAAGCATCTCAAACATAACAAGTGTGTTCTTGTATATCTGTGCCCATGATTGCCTGTCTATAAGTCCAATATGTGGCAACTGTTGGATGTAGTTGATGGCTGGAAACACGGTACATCATAACTGAGAGGCTATGATCCATCTCTTTGAAAGTTTATAATGAATAACATGGAATATATGCATGTACAAGAATAAATTGTGTAGACAACACATGCTTCTTGCTTTTGTCTTTTGAGAACCTGCAGTCTCCTTGCAAGATGTCATTACAACAAAGGTGCAGGGCTCTTTAATATACTTGATCTAATGCAAATTATAGCACATCAGTCTGTGCTACTTGGCAGATATGTATTGATGGTGTAACAGGTCACAAGATTGTCTCATGCCTGTGACAAAGCAAGCTTAGTCTTGATTCCAGTAGTATTTATAGTAGCATACTTCAAGCAGTACCCTGGTCACTCTTGTAATTACAGTAAGAGAGCAAAGCAGTAGCTGCTTGCTGACATAATGGCAGTGTTCTGTAGGCTCAAGGTATCCCCTGAGAATGCACTGATTTGACTGTATCAAAAAATATTTCATCTTTTGTCTCTGACTTTTGTTGTCTCTAACAGCATATACCTTCTTCCACAGAAAAAGCAGATTATTACATATTGCCTATGGACTGCTCTGACCTTTTTAACTTCTAAACTGTTCTCTGCTTTTTTCCCCTTTGACAATTCAGCAAGTGAAGTAACTTGGAGATGGATTCCACTACAGGTGCTTTGACTGAAATTATTTATTGCTTACCTATTAAACCTGGCCACAAATGTCATTCATTTATAGACCCCCATGAAAGCACAAACATTAGCCAGTGAGTTCTGAGTGCTACTGTGTAGAAATGATGTGTATAGAGGGATCAGCTTCCTTCTAGCCAAAAGACTACGCAAGAATAAAGCAAGACTATTTTATATTATATATGTGTGGATCAGAGCTATTCTGGACCAATTCTTTTTGCTGGTAGTGCATTCTATATTTTCACCTTTCTATTTTAGTGACTCTTTCCTGTTACCTGTTCTAAAAGAATTGCAAAATGCACTGCAGGATATCAGGAGGGATGGATTGGACTATGGAAAGGAGGAAGCCATCTCCTCTTGTCTGTGAGAAACTTCTTAGAAAATGTCTGCAGTACTAGGAGACTTGGCAACGTGAGTAATATAGGCGGAGGTAACGAAGTTCTGACCATTGGGATAGATGGGAGGCCAGGTGTGGTATTGTTTCATATCAATACTTCACTCCTGTAAGTCTTCTGGCTAAATGCAAGAGCTGTCCGATAACTCTAATTCTTTGTAAAATCTTGTCAAGTTCACCTATACTGTACTGGGAAATGGTATTGTATCTGCAGTTTTGCTCCTTCTCCTGACTTACTGTGCTGAGTAGGAGTCTCAGAGTTGTCTCTGCCAGTGGAAGTTCTTGTTGCACAGTGATATTGGGCTGCTTCAAATATTGCCTGTGTTGTCTGACTCTGGTGTAGCTGCGTGTCTTCCATGTGGCACCAATTTTGTAGATGAGAACATTGTTTTGCTATGATGGGAGTAGGTAGTCTGAAGTTTGGGGTTTTTTTTTGGCTGTGTGACATTGGATGTGTGATGTACAGGGTGACTATACCAATTAAAGTACTGAGGCAGATCACTTTTGTGAGGGTCCACAGGTTCCACAGAACTGGTTCTGAGTAAGCTATTGCTGAACATGGGGGCATTAAAATGTGGCCCACCAAAGAAATGTGAAAGAGTTCTTCATAAACTGGTCAAAATTTTACATTTGTAG